TAAAAAGTACACACTTTCCTTGCTTCTGATTTTCTTAATAAACAGAGAGCACAAGAAAATGTGTATTTTAATTTCCTGCCAGTGTTTTTTCCCTTTCTTTCTTTCTTTGCTGATTTATTGACTTTCCTTTTTTATCTCTCTCGTTGAAAATTAAACTAAAAGTAAACACTTTACTTTTAAGAAGGTGGAAGAATATAATTTACAACAGCTATGGAATGTTTGACACCACAGGCGTCAGAAATGGATTCAAATCAAATCTGCACAATATTACAACACAACATTCAAAAACCCTGTGAGCCTGATTTCTTGAGGAGATGTGAGAATGTTGACAAAGAAGACAAAGAGTAAGCCTAAGAAACATATTTAAAGAGAAGACCAAATGGATCAAAGACGAGACCAAATTTTGGTGTCTGCATCAAATTCAATTTACAAGTGATTTTATATAAATAGAAAGCATATTAAATGCAAGTAAAGTGTATGTCAAAATATTGGTGACAATGTTGCATGGTCATTCAGAGTAATGGATATATTTATGTAAAAATGGATAAACATACTCTGACTCATACTTATTAATAAAAGAAAAAGTGGATAGTGGCAAAGATTGGTAAAAGATTGGTAAGTCTTTTACTGTCATCTGACTCTCTCTCTCTCTCTCTCTATATATATGATAATATAACTGATTACAAATCTGATCATCTCTAATATATTGTAAATTGTATGGTAAAGTTGGACATACTGCATTTGATTTAGTATTTTTGCATGTCAGAATTGAATTAATTAAACAAATCCCTCATGAGAGCAATGTTTTCAGCAAATAAAATCCAGCTTCTAACTTCCAGCTCCCACAGACACAACAACAATGTAACTCAGCGAGTTTCTCATGCTCGTTCCGAAACACTGGGCAGTCAAGCTCACAGGCGCAGAAAGTGGAACTTCATGGATCTCTGGACTGGTCTTAAGGATAAATACTGTATTATAGAGAAAATAAATCATGTTGATTTTTTACTTTTTGTTTAACCTAAAAAACACAAAAATAAAACCTTAAAACTGAATTCCTATGCAACATTATCCAAAGAACCTCAGTGTTTTGCTGTCATTGAAATGCAAAATCTGCATTGGCATTCACCCAGCCACAGACACACTGGACTCTATGGCACCAATTGACTTTTATAACATCAGTGGCTGTGTTGTGCCATGTAGAGTAGTCTTGACGGTATTGGCTGTTATTCCTAAACACAGACTGACTCAGTAGATCTGAAATAGACTGGGCAGTATAACAGCAGTACACCTGCACATTTCTTATCCTTAAACTACAGAATTATGAAGGCTGGCTCATACCGAGTCAGAGATTAGACATGTCACTATTGCCAACACTGTAAAACAACCAGTTGGGACTTGTTCACACTCATATCCTGAGCTTTCAGTACAAACAGAGCTTTCTTCCAAGGTAGAAAATGGAGCCTGGCATGTATTCCAATGCATTTTCCACGTTTTGCCAAATCTCTTGCATGCTGTCAGAGAGTACGGCAACCCACGATGATGAACTTGAGCATGAAAAGATTGTCTGAGCTGGTTTTATATTAAAACTGAGAAATAAAAAGACCCATCAAAAGTACTTTTTTTTTTTTTAGATATGTTGCAAAATAAATATTTAATCAAAGGATTAATGGCTTTAATTTTGATCTAGCACTGTACCATTCATTCCAAAATACCTCCTCCATAACTTTACAGTGTTATTTACTTATCATATAGGCTAGGCCTATATGTTTATCAGAATGTCAAATATATTTATAAAATATTATTGCAATAAATCAAATATGCAAATATTTTGCAGGTAAAACCATGGTATCAAGGACTGATATAGATGACGATATAGGCTACACTATATCGTGGAGGCGATATAATGTGTCAATCGATAGCGATTTTGTTGTTTATAACTCCACATGTAAAAAAAACAACAACAACAAAAAAAAACACCGTCGCAGCTTTTAGTGGCCTGGAAAAGAAATTACTCACATCGTGGCATAAAATGTTGGTTATATCGCCCACATTAAAAACTAAAAAAAAAACATTTTCAGCCAGTATTCAGTGGTGTGAAGTGTCACTGTCACATGTTGCCATTTCTAATATTTCCAGGCGGACCGAAGAAAATATTCCCACAAATGACTGATCAATGTGTTCTTTAAGATGCATAGAAACACTCAAAAGTTGGCCTGACAACGTAACTGTTTCACTGGAACAAATGCATCCAGTGTTTAGGACGTTTGGCATGAGGAGGATAAGCCCATAAACCGACTATCCGCTCTCACCTGACCGCTTCACTCACCTGCGGATTCCGGGCATTCCTTCACCGGCGAGCCTGCTGTCCGCTTCGGCTTTGACTTCCTCCGGATAGCGTTTCTCCTCAGTTCACTCATGTTTTTGTTACTTCATTACAACATTTAAAAGACCTTTAAATAACGGGTGTTTTACGTCCACGCAGCATTTCGGTCTATGTCTTAACAAGCATCTGCACCCATAAGAACTCTGTAACGTTAGTGTTACGCAAAAGTAAAGCGAAACGCTTCGTTTAGTGTTTTCCTCAGATTCTCGGACTCTTACAGTAGTACACTGTTCTGGAGTTTATCAGCCCATATCACCACCCTCTAAGAGCTCTGATAGCACGATTGGTCCAGTCCTGTCATGTCCTCTGTGCTCTGACCTCCTACTGTATATTTTGACTCGCCGACCTCAAAACATTAGTTTGTGGGGATTTTGATTAATCTCAGTGAGTCGAGTCGTTTGAATCCGTTTACCTAAACACTGTTTAGCCAATGAAATTGGAGAACCGGTGTTGTGGCGAATTTTGACTCTTTGCCTGGGGATGCATTGAAGAACTGTAACTGTACAAATAAATAAATAAACTATCAAAGGTTATGAAATAAAATAAAAAAACTATAAATTAATACATTATTAAGTTCAGTAGGGTTAGCCAGTCATTTTCACTGTTTTGACCTCCTACTATATTTTGACTTGAAAACACTATTAGTGATCCAATTTACTGTTGCGCAATGTTATCTGGGATTACTGTATCTGCATTGAACAACTGTACAGTAACTACACAAAATTGAAAAAGCAAAATTAAATTATTAAATAAATAATAAATACATATAAGTTAATAAATTATTATTCAGTTATTAAGTACAATTGGTCTAATTTCCTGTGCTGTCCTACCGGTTTTGATTCACCTCAGTGAGTCGAATCTTTTGAACCTGTTCACCTAAACACCGCTTAGCCAATCAAATTAGAGGATCGAAACTAACAGTAGTATAAAGTTGATTGGGACCATTAAAAATGATTATCATTAAAAATTGAAAGACAAAATAAAATTGCAATAAATAAAAATAAATAAATTAAAAATTAAAGACAAAATTACAATAAGTGTTTTTTTTTTTGGACTAGACGTTGATATAAGCTGCAAAGACAAATGTGAGCTGTGATACACTACTACAGTGTGCGCACAAAACCTTTTACACACATCGTCTCTCAAATAATCAGGACAGGACTCAACAAATATTGTTTTTAAATTTTATTTCACAAAAAATGATGTGGCTTATGACTGTAGTATACACATAAAAATATCCTGCAGCAAGATCATGCTTTCACCAGTACACACCATGTGACATTGTGGGTATTATTCAGTAAATTTCACTTCAGAGGCAACAAATCTACCACAATGTGTAGTTAATAAAACTGAAACTCCTCCCGTCTCATTGGAAATACTCCATAAGAAATGAATATAGTCTAAAATGCCAATGGGTTAGACTGAACAGAAACTGAGAACTGGGAGCTAAAAGAGATTGTGAATGAAACCATTGACCTTATATATCCTTCTTTGCATGTCATTAAACAGACTAGCTTTGTTCTCGTTCCACAATGGATACAGTTATGCTTTGAGAAGCATCTGATGGATTCTTCATCTAACTCCATCAATAACCTTTCAGTCAATCAATGAGACTGAAAATGTGTTTTAGTGGTTTGCTGCTGTATAAAAACACAATGACATCTGATATTTCTCCATGTCCTGCTGGTACAAATCATGGTGCGATTGGAGGACAGATGACCAAATGACATGAAAATGATCCTGTGCCTGTTTTAAAATGCATAGATAAATGTGTTTGTGCTATATATAGGGTAAAGGTTGGATATAACTTAAAGAGTAAATGAAAAGAAAAGAGAGAAGGAGATATGCAGAGAGGTTCTAGTGAATATGGGATACAGTAAATAGGGCTTGGATGCTGTTTTTGGAGCAGATCTGAGAATAATAAACCCACTTCATGTTCAAATTTAGCAGCGCATTGGGATCAAGCCTCACTCAAGCTATAACTCCATTCCCTCAAAAATGATTTTTGCCCAACGTGCCCTGAACTAGGCCTACATGTCCACTCAATCCTCAAAGACTTATCTGACATCATTTCGGCAATAAAAAAAGAGAATTCAGGTATAAAATATAATCTTTATGCATTGCAATAAACTTAAAAAATGACAAAGAAACCAACGTGTTTCCATGTGCAAAGACATTAGAGAAGCTGAGATTTGCAAAACTCAATCGTATTATCACTGTAATGCAAACATCACCTCAGGAGCAAAATCAAAGTCACTGAAATATCACATTGAGTATTGTTTCTACTTTATGAAAATGATGTGTACATGTCTCTCAATAATCCATTTACCTCTCTTCAACTTTGCAAACAAATCTTTCTTTCATGTCACACTTTTTAGTGCATCAAAGATTGTAAATATTAGTTCTGACTGATAAAAAGTCACCTTGCATACCATAATAATACTCCCGGGTTGATGTTATTAATACTAATTTTTATGGTTTAAAAGTGCATTTTTAAGAAAAGCTGCATTCATATCCAAAATCATATTCATATTAAAACAATCAGACACAACACACATCATATTTTTAAATAAACAAACAAAAACACAAATAAATAAAGTAACAAATATTTAAATAAATATGTATACATCAGTCCATTTCAGTTTGCTCTCATCTCACTCAAGATGATAATTAGTACTTACAATATGCATCACTGAATAATTCATCCAATTTCAGTGAATGGGCGGGAAATTAGGGCGGGCCCCTCTGGAGCATCTGATTGGCTGGAGGTCATGATTGACTGATGTGCCCCGCCCCCTTCATCTGTCTCTGTGAGGAGTCCAACAACAGGCTAAGGGCCAAAAAAATAAGAATGATGGGCCAGACAGTTGAAAGGATCACATGGAAATCTGGAGTTGGCCATCAGGTCCTCTTGAAGAGCTAACAACACAGGACTACAAAGACAGAAACGACACGGGCAGAAGGGAGAGAAAACAGAAACAGTGGCCATAAGTCGGTGAAAAATGAAATCACCATATCCTGTTTCCTATTAAACTGGAGCAACTGTAATAGAAAAAAAAGCAAAATTCACTGATTCAGACATGAACATTAACTCCCTTTTGACAGACACACAGGGGCACATGCAAAAGCAAGTAGCTTATAAGAGGCAAAGTAGTATGGGACGAAATAAATGTTGTCTATATTTGACAACTCAGGATGAGAGGGTGATGAAAGGATGCTGGGCATCTCAATTTTAGTTTTGTATACTTTACCGGTCGGTTTTTAAATGTTTTTGAAACCAAAACTGCATTTATTTGATAAAAAAATATAGTAAAAACAGTAATATTGTGATTTTTACTGTATTAAAACCGTTCTATATTTTAATATATTTTAAAATATAATTCTTGTGATGGCAAAACTGAGGTTTCAGCATATATTATTTCATACTTTCAAGATCCAGAAATTATACTGATATGCTGATTTGGTGCCGAAGAAACATTTCTTATTATTAACAATATTGAAAAGAATATTTCTGTGGTAACCATGATAACACTACCATTCAAAATGTGTGGTAAGTAGGACGTAAAAAAGGGAAAGGAAAATAAATTAATAATTAAATTCAGCAAGGACATGTTAAATTGTTTAAAAGTGACAGTAAACACATTTATAATGTTACAAAATTATTTATATTTTAAAATAAATGCTGTTCTTTTGCTGAATCAAGAAAAAATGTATCATGGTTTCCACAAAAATAAGCAGAAAAACTGTTTTCAACATTGATAATAATAAGAACCATTTAAAAAAAACTGAGCACCAATAATAATTGCACCAAATAAAAATGATTTCTGAAGGATCATGTGACACTAAAGACTGGAGTAATGAAAATTCACAAGAATAAATTACTTTTAAAAACAAATTTAATAAACTTATTTAAAAATATATTCAAATGGAAAACAGCTATTTTAAATTGTATTATTTCACTGTATTACAGTTTTTACTATATTTTTGATCAAATAAATGCAGTCTTTGTGAGCATAAGAGGCTTTATTTAAATACATGAAAAATCTTAATTACAAACTTTTGACTGGTAGTGTATTGTAAAAGTGTGAGGAAGTGGGTGCTGCTGTTAACATTATTTGTGAATGCGTGACCCTACGTGTGACATATTTTTCTGTTGGAAACAGAGTGAGAGAGAAAACAGCAGAGCGCGAGTTCCTCCAAAAGAAGTTACCTGTGGCCCGTGGATGCCCTCCCGCGCCTCAGTTATGGGGAGGTTGGCGGTACTGAGCCAGCAGGCTGCTGACAATCTAAGAGAAACTGATAAATTAGACATATACAGAGGTGTGACAGTCAGGGTTAGTGACACAAACACAGACATAAATGGGCACAGAGATGAGAAGTGAACTTGCTGGAAATGGCTGCAATGCTCTAACTTCTGGGTGTTAATCTCATGCAGAATCACATGTAACATGAACAGATAGAGCATGCAGAATGAGAAAAATAATGACCAACATTCAGCTGCATATATTTGCGTACATTCAAGAGGAATACCAGGTATAGATGGAAGGAAAGCAAGGTGGTATCACCTTCAGTTTGTTAAACAGAGATACACTACTTTTCAAAAGTTTGGGGTTGTTAAAATTTAGTTCTTATGCTCAACAACGCTGCATTTATTTGATAAAAAAATACAGTAATATTGTGAAATATTACTGCAATTTAAAATGACAATTCTATTTCAAATATTTAAAAATAAAATGTATTCCTTATATTTTCAGCAGCCATTACTTCAGTGTCACATGATCCTTCAGGAATCATTCTAATATGCTGATTTGGTGCTCTAAAAACATTAATTATTATTATTGCTGAAAACAGTTATGCTGCTTAATATTTTTGTGGAAAGTGTCATACTTCTTCCCCAAGATTTTCTGATGAAAAAAAAGTTCATATTCAACAGCATTTCTTTGAAATAGAAATATTTTGTAACATTATAAATGTCCTTACTTTCATTTTGATCAATTTAATGTATCCTGTCTGAATAAAAGTATTAATTTCTTTAAAAAAAATGAAATAAATAAATAAAATCGTACTGATCTCAAACTTTTAAACAGTAGTGTATGTGTCAGCCGCAAATTACAAACAGCGTTGCTGCTTTGTTAATGGGAGCGTGCAAACACATAAGTTTACACATTTAACAAGACAAAAAGTAATATTTAAAACATTTTTAAATAGAAATATTTTGTAACATTATAAATGTCCTTACTTTCATTTTGATCAATTTAATGTATCCTTTCTGAATAAAAGTATTAATTTCTTTAAAAAAAATGAAATAAATAAATAAAATCGTACTGATCTCAAACTTTTAAACAGTAGTGTATGTCAGCCTCAAATTACAAACAGCGTTGCTGCTTTGTTAATGGGAGCGTGCAAACACATAAGTTTACACATTTAACAAGACAAAAAGTAATATTTAAAACATTATAGTTGATGCTGTCTAGCTAAGTAAAATCGTACTGATCTCAAACTTTTAAACAGTAGTGTATGTGTCAGCCGCAAATTACAAACAGCGTTGCTGCTTTGTTAATGGGAGCGTGCAAACACATAAGTTTACACATTTAACAAGACAAAAAGTAATATTTAAAACATTATAGTTGATGCTGTCTAGCTAAGAGCACATATACACATCTAGAGCAATATATGGACATTTTTAATAACACAATTTTTTCATTTTCCCATTACAATGCGAGTAGTTCTTAGGATGATGCGAGGGTGTTTGTTAGGGTGTTGCTATGCAGCCATTCTATGTGCTTTTTAATATGTTGCTCTACAGTTTCTGGGTGTACATGGGCGGTTGTTTGTATAAATGCATTAATGACATAAACCTCTTCATACTGCAAACAATTATAGCTATCTACAGCTCCAGAGTCAAAAATGTAATTTAATTTTAATCAGAAGGAAGCTACTGCTCTGTGGTTGGGATATGTTTTGGTCACCATGGGCAAAACAGCATTTGACTAATTCAGTAATGAGCAAAGGATGTGAAATGTAGAAACACTGACTCTTGCAGGCAGAGAATAGAAGTGTCCATCGCTCTTTTATTAACATCATTACCAGGAATAATAAAGAATGTTTTTATAATACTTTATACTATCACTGTCGAAAACTTTTTTTTTTTGTTAAAAAAGAAAACTGTTTTGACAAAAAAAAAATACAAATCTGACACTATAGAAGTGTCACACCTCATGAATGTGATGCATTTACGTTATGTCACATTATGATAGTTGAAAATTATGATTGTTGAAATTATTAAATGTTATTACATTTTCTTAAACTTTCCTTAAATTTAGTGGGAATAAAATGGTCAAGTGCTATTGCATTCTATAATGTTGGGTCTTGGTGACACCGGTGAAGCGGATCAGACTGGTTTCCATTACACTAAAGTAGAATTCCATGATTTCCAAACACTATCAACTGAGTCACATCATACATAATATACATAACATGTCTTTAAGCAAGGCACAGGGAACAGCAATACTACAAAGCTAAACGTAGACCTGAAATCTCGGATCACTCCTAGGAAAAAACTAAAAAAATTCAGAGGCTTGTCTATACATGTAAATGTAACCGCTGTCTACCATCAGATCTGCATGAACTGCATCTCTGTCAGTCTTGCATGAGCAATGCTAACACAATGTTCTGTACAACCTTCAACTGCTGACCTTGTCAAATGCTTTTTGGCCCACAGCTCCTTAAAGGTGAAAGTATTTCTACAAAACGAGTGCCATTTTTTAATACATACTGTACACATTATACTTATACAGTATAATATACACTTTATATACATGTGTAAAAAATACTTTGAGACACAGTAAAAGCTGTCATCTGTTGTAAAAAAAATTTTGTGCAAATTTTCTGTTATATTATTATATATATTTTTTTTGCCTCAAGAATTTGCCCCAAGAATTTCTCCTTGCTATATTAGCAAATACTTACATTTTGATAAAAAAAAATATATGTAAATAAAAAGTAGCATTTCTTTATCGCTGTTTTAGTTGAACAAAACAATAGATTTTAGTTGAGTTAAATAAATAAACAATAAAAATCCTTAAATAATGTGAAAATAAAGTGAACTCTTCTTGTCCAATCATTTATTTATTGAAATAAATAAATAAATAAATGTTATCATAATGGCATCATCTTTTCAGAAACTCTTCCTGACAACTCATTTTATTACTTTATCTTATGCTCTTTTATGTTTGTCAGCAGGGGACGATCATACATTTTCAAAGAGTTACCATTATTTTGTATAAAAAACAAAAAACTGATCATTTAAGAAAAAATTAAATAAAAATATATTACAGAAAATACATTATATATAATAATATAGATATATTAACATTAAATGATCTAATAAGCATCTTGCATTTTCATGACCATAAGCAAAGGGCTTAAAATGTCCTATTGAAATGCCATATGGTAAAACTGTCAATCCTGTTACCCACTGTATATTAACCCTGTTAAAATGCATTAAAAGTCATACATTTAATTTGAGATGGAACAAGACAATTGATTAAAACTTAAACACATTATGTGCCTAAAAGAATGTTTAAAACATTCAGAAATTTACTTTAAAAATGTCCTTATCAAACTGGACAGGCACCCGTTCCATAGAATGATTCATGATATAATGAATGGCACATTTAATGTGGCTCTGTACTCTACAGCTCATTGAAATGCAGTAGCTGGGCAGCAGGCAGCATGTGCAAGAACACGTCCTTGCATTTGCATATGGCAGATCCTGCACTGCACTTATGCTGTGTCCATGAATAGCTCTGCCCTATACACGGTGCATTGAGATCAACTAAGCATTTTCTGTTAGCAAGCAAAGCAGTAAAAATAAGTTTAATGTAATTATACATAAGCTACTACTCATGATTTCAGTATACAGCACTTTGAAAGACTCACAAGGCTTGATGACTACAAAAAGGCCAAAGTAACTGTTCAATTGTTCAGTTCACAATGTTGCCAGTGGATGGAGCTGTAGTTATGTCAGATGTGCTAATACGAAAATAACTGAAAACTCCATCACACAAACTAACTGCTTTGCATGCAGTATGTAGCACCCATTTCATCAAGCCATAAAATGGAAGCGCACATGCAGGAATGATATTCTAATAGAGACATTCAATCACCAATCAATACCTGTTTTGCTTTACAGAATAATTCTTCTAGTATGATCCGAATACATATCCTTATGGATTCAGATTCCAACAATTGTGCTTGCCAAAAAAACAGTTTTCTTACCCAGGCAGCAAAAAAGGACATCAAGCACAGTGCAATTTTTTTTATTATTTAATCTTATTTTTATACCCAGACAACATTCTTTTAATATGTACTATCTCACAAAGCCACGTGTTTAAAATAATTAAAAGTTTGAAGTAATTACTATTTTTTAATGTTTTTGAAAGAAGTTAGAAAACATTCTGATATGCTGATTTGGTGCTTAGGAAACATTTCTTAATATTATCATTATAAAAACTGCTGCTTAATATTTTTTGTGAACCCTGTGATACATTTTTTTCAGGATTCTTTGATGAATACAAAGTTTGAAAGAACCGTATTTATTTGAAATTATTTATTTTTTTTAATCTTACTTACCCCAAACTTTTGAATGGTAGTGTATCATGTTGTAGTGTTTCCACAAAAATGTTAAGCAGCACAATTGTTTTCAACATTGATAATAATGAGAAATGTTTCTTGGGCAGCAAATCAGCACATCAGAATGATTTCTGAAGGATCATGTGACACTGAAGACTGTTCAAAATTCAGCTCTGCCATCACAGGAATAAATTACATTTTAAAATGTATTAAAATAGAAAACAGTTCTTTTAAATTGTAATAGTATTTCACCACATTACCGATTTTACTGTATTTTTGAGCAAATAAATGCAGCCTTGGTGAGCATAAGAGAATTCTCTCAAAAACATTTAAAAAAAATCGTAATTACTCCTAGATTTTAACCAATAGTGTCTTTCTAGAGCTGGCAAAACATAATTCTGTTCAGAATGAATTAGTTGAAATTTCAAGTAGTATCAGTAAAAAAAGTCTCTAAAATATATCCCTAAGTTGAATCATATGCTCCAATCAGTCATATCAGAAGGAAACCAGTCTGTCCTTAAACCATGTCACCTACTGAGGGGTCACCACTAGGGATTCTGGGAGTCCCAGGCTGGATTAGAGAAGTTCTTGAAGCAGCTGAAGGTGTGAACTGAGTCACATTGGAGCGCATGCGAGATCTCACGGAAAGTGGCAATGGTTGCCGAGCGCCCAGGACAGGAGAACGGTAGGGGGAAGTAGGAGCAGATCTGGGAACGTGAGCATCAGAGTCTCCGCTATGAACAACATGACAAAACTCAATACTTAGCATCTCTGGGTCTAAAACTAAAGTTTGAGTGCCCAGTTTCCAATGCGACTGGCCGAGGAAAAACGGCTGGGCTGAGGAGGTCCAGGAGGAGGAGGATGGAGCAGGGACATCCAGTGAAGGAGAGCTACTGGCTGATGCAACCATATTGTTTTGGAATAGACAGAAAGCGGGTTTTGAAACCGATGCAGTGGGGCTAGGGGGAGCAGTGAGTGCAGTTCGATGACTTACTTTTTGAGGGCTGCTCTTAATTTTTGGCACTTTCCCTCCACGGCCACAGTGCGACTGCTCATGGTCAAACTCTAGGTCCTCCAGGCGCTGGGTGAGGGCCAGTTTCTGCTGAATGGCCATTCGCAGGAGGGAGTTCAGAGTCTTCTTTTCATCTTCTGCGGCAGCCAGCTGCCTCTGCATCTCATCCAGCTGAGTTACGTACTCATCACATCTGGACAAAGAGGGGGAGAGAACCTCGACATTAAGTGATTAAACAAAATGACAACATATTTTACTACCATAATGTATTTCAGTGTAAAAAAGAATATTCAGCTTAAAAAATATAGCGAAGAACTTGAATTTGTCCATCTTAAATCATTGGATTCTTGAACAAATGACTCTAAAACATAAGTTCTTTTCAGTCAAAAATTCACTGTGTAGTAAGATACATATTATGAATTTTGTTGTTGTTAAAAATACATTGTCAATAAAATCAATAAAACACCTTTTGATAAATTTTTACTAATTTAAAACTTCAATTTTTTAAAATGATGTAAGTCGTGTCCCCAGCTAACAAAAATATGTTCTAAGAAAGTTCTGCTAATATTTCATTGATATGAAAACACTAACTAAATGGCTCCTTTAGCTATTAACTAACACTATTTACAACCTAGGTGAGATCAGCCGAAAAGTAAATAGTTTCAGAGGTGGAGCAAGCAATTACATTTTGATGAAACATTTTTAACGAATCATGAATGTGTATTCAAAAAAGAAACCATTCCAGTTTGGATGTCCTCAATAATATTAAATGCAGTTAAGGGCCGATAAACGCACCTTGTGGCAAACATTGCCCTCAGTGAGGAAAAGGTGGCTGCATCTTCTTTGAGGGCCTTTAGTTCATTTCTAAGCTTCATCATTGTCTCCGTCACCATAGACTTCTCATTTTCATATTTACTCTTCAGGTTTGCAAGGGCCACCTCAGCAGTCTAGAAACAAATTTTAAAAACATACAAAGTTCTGTTATATATGCTTTTATTTGAGACCAAACACAACATAAGACATAAACTTGGCCCTCTTACCTGTTTGTTGGCTTTCAGGACAAGACGCAATGTAGCAATCTGCTCTCTTTTGGTGCTCAAGAGGGATTTGAGTTTTAGGATCTCCTCCAAGCAGACCTCTTTGTCCTTATCGAGGATGGGTGCCAACTCTCGTGCCGCAGCCCTCTGCCTGGACAGCTGGAGCGAGCGGTCCACAGCTTTCTGCAGGTGTTTGATCTGGTCACGGATGATGGCGTTGAGGTTATAGATGTTCATGGGTTCACGGCGGAGATCACCTGTTTCTGGCACTGGGGAGGGTGAGAGAGATGAACCATTGATTGGTGAACCAAACAGTGTTTTGTTGGGGCTTCCTCCTTCCCCTTTAGTTCCTTCTCCAAGGGGTTCCTTTGATGGAGAGTCTTGAGGACTCTTGGACACGTCTGAGGAGTTAGCAGCCGCGATTCGGCGAGCTAAACGTGGAGAAAGCAGGGCTCTTGGGTCCTCTGGGCCTTTGAGACTGCCGCTACGTGTGACCCGGCTCTGACGGTAGTAGTCCAGCATGACACGGTTCGGAGTTTCATTGTTGCACAAGCAGACATGGTGGTAAAGCTGAGCGAGTTCCTCGCTAAATGTAACCAGCTCGTCCTGAGCTGTGTTCAGCATGCTGTTACTTTCGCTAGCCATAACAGAAGCACACCGGAGCTCCGCTTCCAGACTGCTAACCCGCTCGCGGCCCTCGTGCCAGGCTTTCTCCAACCGTTTCACTTGTTCTTCGAGAGCCTGGACCTTCCCTTCGCTGTGGTTGCTCTCTTCTGATTGGTTCTCCACAGACTGGTTATATTTTTCCTTCAAAGCCTTAAGCTCCGCCTTCAAGTCAATGACTTCAGTCACGGCAACTCTGTATTTGCACTCCAGAAGCTCCATTCCATTGATGTCTGCCTCATAATCGCAGCAACCGTTAATGGGCACTTCATTCTTCTCTGACTCCTCCGTATCAAACTCCTTGTCACTGTAGAGGCGCTTCATAGCGTTGAAGCGCTCCGTAAGGCGGTGAACGCGTTTGTGCTGCTCAGTTAAAGCTCCCTGCGTGTGCTGCAGTTGAGTTTGAGACTCCTGCAGGTTGGTAAGTATAACCGCCTTCTCTCGCTCAACCTAGTGAACAAGATGATACAAAGTTTGTTAGCAAAAACCAAGAAGGTCTTAAAAAACTATATGTTAGCCTTGCCATTCATTTACACAACTGGGGTCAGTACATTTTTTAAAGAAATTATTACTTTTATTCATAAAGGACACATTAAATTGATAAAAAGTGACAGTAAATACATTTATGTTACAAACAATTTCACGACGCTTCATAGAGTTGAAGCGCTCCGTAAGGCGGTGAACACGCCTGTGCTGCTCAGTTAAAGCGCCCTGTGTGTGCTGCAGTTGAGTTTGAGACTCCTGCAGGTTGGTAAGTATAACCGCCTTCTCTCGCTCAACCTAGTGAACAAGATGATACAAAGTTTGTTAGCAAAAACCAAGAAGGTCTTAAAAAACTATATGTTAGCCTTGCCATTCATTTACACAACTGGGGTCAGTACATTTTTTAAAGAAATTATTACTTTTATTCATAAAGGACACATTAAATTGATAAAAAGTGACAGTAAATACATTTATGTTACAAACAATTTCACATTTCAAATGAAATATGTTATTTTGAACATTCTATTCATCAAAGAATCCTGAAAACAAGTATTAAATAGAAATAGTTAAGAAATGAAAGTTCATCAAGCCTTACCTACAATACTTTTGCTAGAAGACATGGAATATTTCACTCTATGTGCTTATAAAATTCCACTCTATAGACAGTTGTGATAGCTAGGTGTGTTAGCTTGCTTGTCACAAATTTAGCATAACTGCAGAGCTGTCATTGAGCTCAAGTGCTGCTTAATTGCTTTCTGATCACTCATTGTATTAGAAGTGTCAGCCATCTAACGCCTGAGGCTGAGATAGCAAAACTCTATAGATTCCTTACTGGAGATGAGCCAAAAAGGACAAAAGGAAATACATTTAAAACGTAAACAGGGGTGGATGGGATGGATTTATTTTTTTTCTGAATAAATGCCAGGCAATTACAGTAGCTTGAAGGGTGAGGAAACAATTAATTATAACCATGCAGTGATTTAATACACATCTAAACACAAACAAATATTACAGCAACTACTTCGTGCAATAGGATGCTGAAAAAACAGGCTCTTGGCTATGTATTTGATGGCAATCCCACACAGCTAGAGAAAACATTACTACAGCCACACTCCCCAGAGGAGACCACTGGATGCAAACATGTTATATAATACTTTTCATGAAATTGATCTGTTTAAACTGTGGATAAATTTATGTGTGGTAACATAGCTTTTTTTTTCATTATACATGACCAAATGGCTAGAGTGTTTTTAATGTATCATTATAGATACATATAAATAGACATTTTAATAAATTATTAAAATGTTTCACTTTATTATTAATTATTTTATATCAGATATTTTAAGTGTATTTTTATATTTACATTTATATATCTCTCTCTGTCTCTCTCGCTCTCTCTCTCTATATATATATATATATATTTATACAACAGTTCATTCTGGTTCTCGAATCTGATTGGCTGAGAGCCTTTTCCAGCAGTGCGATATTCCAGTAGTATCAGCACTCTTAACTGTTTTACCGTTTGTATCACTCCACTTGTTGTCGGATCTATACTGGCAGCATTTGTCTCAGTCAGCGTCAACGGTGGAAGAGCAAACCCACTATAATTTTACAATATTATTGCTGTTATTGTGTCACAGAATTTTAAAGAGATTTTCACTGAGTTTTAAGAGATTTTTAGCAAAGAATGTAGTTGTTTAGACTTCAAATATGCGATTTATATATAAAGATAGCGCCTATTTGACAATTTGTTTAGATGTTTTCGGAGAAGTGAGCTCCAGGCTGACAGCGACCGTTCAGCACTCATGTACCCGATGAGAACAGCCTTATCTCGGCCAGTCCTTCGGGAATTTGCCGCTGGCTCTGATGTAGATGGTGTTACACAAGGTATAATTCATTTTGGTTACATTAAACGGGCAATCTTTGGTCTTATTAAATGACTTTTATATTGAAAGGGACTGAAACATATTATTACTTCAGACAGCTATAAAAGATGCAACCATAGGGACGCAACCGACAAATTTCCATGAAAACTAGCGTTGTCATGGGAAATCCCCTTAACTGTTAAAAGGATAAAGTCAAAGTTATCTATATCTTTTTTTTTTTTTACATGTACCAGTGAGTGAACAATGACATCAAGCCACATTCACTGCAATTATTGTGTCATAATGTTTTGTCTGATTTGCTGTGTGATGCTCCTTTAAGCAGCTGATGCTCTCTATGTTTCCGTGTCCGCACTGGCAGATTTTCTATTCTTGTCCCATACTGTCTCTCTTGCTGAATATGCCTGTGGTACACGCACATACAAATACATTACTGTGTCCTGCTTTTACAGAGACACTCACTCATAATGGTAATCAACCTGACAGTAGCCTCCCAAAGGACAAAATAGACTAGTGCACTTACAGCAATGAACTTTCCTTCACTCAAATTTACATTGTAAACTTTCTACCTAAAGTATTTTCCAGTGATATGTAGAAGTGTCAAGGGCATGAAAATGTGTCAATAAAGGCAACCTTTGATGTCCGTTAAGATTGACTGGATATATAATGATTAATGCCCTTTAAAGGGTTTAAGGCATCTATGTTTGCTTATAAAGTAGCAGTAGATGCATTCAAACTCTAATGAAAAGAGTCCATAGTTGCCCATTAATGCACTGGATAACAGCTGCTTTTCCCCCAAACATCCCTCAGTGATTTATGGGACTATGAGTATCTGAGCAAAAACAGTTGAAAAAACATAAAACCACCAAATTATATTTGTTATTTGAAAAATGAAATAAACATGAAATAAAATAAAAATTTGAAAAAGTAAATTTATTATATTTTAGGTTGTTGCCAAGGCAACATTTCTCATTTCCATTTAGTTTAATGTAAAGTTTGAAAATAACTAAAAATAAATAATATAAAACAAATAAATATGGTAGATAAATGTGACTAACCTGTAGGAGCTGTTGTTTGAGTTTCTGTATCTCAGACAGGTGGAGTTCACTGAAGAGATCAGACACTGGGTGCAGCACCTCTCCCTTCCTGCCTCCAGGTTGGTGATATTCTCCGTTCACCTTTGGTCCATGCCCATTGCACTCATTACAGCGGTTACGGTCATCATTGTAGGGGTTAGACCCAGATGCAGACGTGCCGTTGGTTGCTGCCTCCTCTGCAAACTTCAAACCCTCCACGGCAGAGATGGCCAGGTGGGTGCTGGCTCCATACACACTGTCCGTCAGGCTGAGATGATGGGCCAGCTCCTTTCTCAGATTGTTCTTCTGCTCTCTCTCACTCTTCAGAGCATCCAACGCCTCTTCTAACTGGCCTTCAGAAATGTCTTTCAAACGCAAAGCATCTTCCAGCTGGCTGTTGAGTAGCACCGTCTCTTCCTCAAGCACTTTGATTTCATGCTTTAGACCCTCATATTCCACCTGTAAATTTTAAAGAGTTGAAAGAGAATGTGAAAAGGCATATTTGTGGACACTTGACTGTGTAATATAATAATAATAATAATAATAATAATAATATTATTGTGTGTATATGCAATTATTATTGTATATCTAAGTCTATATACTGATATAGACATATATGCAATTAATATATATATATATATTAATTGCATTTCTATCTATCTATCTATCTATCTATCTATCTATCTGTGTGTGTGTGTGTGTGTGTTATTATTATTATTATTATTATTATTATTGTGTATGTGTGCGTGTATACAAACACACTTTTAAGATTATGCCATATGACCTCAGCTATGATTAGATAACTTATTTTCAAGTAAAATGAGTATAAATGCCCCAAACAAGTTGCAGAATAAATAATAAATAGATTACATAGTGACATACTGCCACTCGTTTCAGGTAAATGTTTTCCATGTAATATATATTAACATATGGCATAATCTTAAAGGTACGAATGATATGATTCAAGTAGGACATGTTCCTAAGTGAAAATCCTATCCCATCAAATCATCCCATCAAATCATAGTCCCAACTCTTACCTTCTACTAAAATCATAGGTTTATGAAAATGTTAAAACCCCTGAACCCCAACCTTAAGCCCTCAAATCTGATTGGTTAACAGGAATGTTGATCCAGGGTTATCAAGGATTTTAAAGGGATAGTTCACCCAAAAATGAAAATTACCCCATGATTTACTCACCCTCAAGACATCCTAAGTTATATGACTTTCTTCTTTCAGACGAATACAATCGGAGTTATATTTAAAAATGTACACCTAGGACGGCTTGAGGGTGAGAAAATCATGGGGTAATTTTCATTTTTGGGTGAACTATCCCTTTAATCCAGGAATGTGTCGTACTGGGATAAGCTTGATAAGCTTGAAGGTACAGAAGGAAAACCTAATTCTGAGGGTGGAAAATAGGGGCATAAAACTACACTAAACATAAAATTTGGTGCATGAAACCTAATGAAAAACTGTCAAAACGTATGCCCCTGTAAAAAACACAGAGGCACTAAATTTACATTAAGTGACTGCATGTAATTCTACTCTGTAGTGGGTTTTGATCACATAGTATGACACTGTGTTTCACAGTTAGTGTGTGTGTGTGTGTGTGTGTGTGTATGTGTATACCTGATTCTGTTTGAGTGTTGACACTAGTTTCTGTAGAGTAATGTTCTCCTCCTCCAGTTCAGTGTAGTCCTGCAGCAGTCTGGTCTCTCTGAACTTATACTCTCTGATTTCCTCTCTCATCCTGTTCCTTTGTAGCTCTAACATCTCATTATTCTGACAGAGAGAAAGGGAAGGTCAACAGAAAAAAATGAGTCACTTGGTTGTTTAAGCATTACCCCATGTCAGAAGAAAGAATGATTCACAAAATCAGCTTGTTAAAAAGGGAAAAACAATATTGATGTTCTGGACAGCATACAGTAGTTTGAGGGGTTTGTCTTCTCCAAAGAGGCGAAGAAAGCAGTATGTTGTTAAACACACACACACCAAAAATGTTTTTTTAATTAATTAAATTAAATAATCAAATTAAATTAAATACATTTAAATAAAATTAGCAGCAGTGACCCCTATACAGTATATCTATTGAGGGACTCCTTATTGTCATTATAATGTTGGTAAATAAAATACAAATAAAATAAAATAAAATGAAGAATATAAGCAGCAGCAAACCCAACATATCTATTAAGAGCCTCCTGTTTCTCATTATATTGGTGTTATGTGCGAGTATGTCATGGTGAATCTTTGTAAGGAATCTATAAAAATCCATTAGCCTTACATATAATAGCTTTATATTTCTGTGAGTCAGAGTCTAAGATGATACTGAGCATGTCAACACTTGAGCTGACAGGAACGCTGGGTAACAAATTGCTTTCCGTCAGAGGAAACCCTCAAGTCAGCACTTTTCTTCCTCACAGTTCAACCTATATGGGAAAGCCGAAACAAACGCTTCTTTAACAGCTGAAACAGAATGTTACAAGCAAGATGACAAAAAGTTGTATAAATCTCAATGAGAGTGAGTCACAATCAGAGGCCAAAAGGTACCTCTTTATGACTTTCTACCAAGGTACTAGCCCTGATCTTCAATCACAATGCCTTGTACAACTGTTTGTGGCAGCATTCACAGTGTAGTAAGCTTTGGAATACTTTAAACCAAGGCCGTAACCATAGGGCGAATGTAAAACATTTCTACATTTCATAAAACAGTTTACTAATATTAAATGATTTGCAGCTTCCATCTTACCTAACTTTCTTTCAACGTTAAACTGATGCTTTGCGCTGGAATTCGTGCTCTGCTTCTGTGAACAGCAAACCCTGCCTACTTTGATTTGATTGGCCACATCAATTATTTTGACATTGACGAGCACTGTTAGAGTGCTGAGGCAGACCAGGCTGAAAATGTCACTTTTAAAGCGTTTTGTCATCTTAAAAACCAGAGCGCTGCGTAATGAAGTGCAGCAGATCAGTGCAAGAATTTCAAATATTGGGTGGGGGGCAGATTGGCTATGGTATTGGACTTGTCCCCCTTAATGTCTATGGTAGTTACAACCCTGCTTTAAACCATTCTTCAAGAACAGATTGCTGGAAAATCACAATTGCTGAGAGAGAAAACCCCCCCATTGTTGCACAAATGGGCAGAAATGCTGATGAAGAGTCAAAGGTGTGGAACAGACATGGGAACGAAGCCAGCCTTGGGAGAAACCTAGATGCTGATTAGGCAGTACGACAGGCATGAAGTGCACAGCATTTTTTAATCATCTCATCTCTTATTTAGTCTTACTTATAATTTACACTACCACTCAAAAGTTTGGGGTCAGAATGTTTGTTTTTTTTTCTGAAATAAATTAATACTTTTATGGAAGAGAGCGCTTGTCATTCACTCCCCCATTTACAATCCCTGCCGGCACCGAGATTCAAACCCACGACCTTTGGGTTACAAGTCTGACTCTCTAACCATCAGACCATGACTGAGAGCAAAGATGCTGGAAATTCAGCTTTGACATCACATAAAATATAATGAAATAGAAAACTGCTATTTTAAACTGTAATAATATTACTGTTTTACAGTGTTTTTGATCAAATAAATGCAGCCTTGGTGAACATGAGACTTCTTAAAAAAGAAAAAAAAAAAAACATATAATAAAATATTAAAGTAAACTTTCATTTGATATCCTAATGTCTATGAAAAAAAAAACGTCTAGACATTCACTGAAGCTGCAACAAAAATCAATCCAAATTGAAGTAAAGCTGTCGCCAACAAATCCTCCATAACTGGAATTAGAGGATCAAACACTGTCATGGCAGAAGATATTTTGCACACCCTGGCAGATGACCTTCCCCTGAGCTGAGATATTGATTACTGTACACAATACAGGAGCTCTCCCAGAGGATGTGATGTCTCATTGCATATTCCAAGCGCTGCTGTGCCAGTTCAAATGAGCTGGGCATGAACTCTAGGGGATTACTGACCAATTATCTCCCAGTACAGCTCTATTGTAGCAGTTGTAATCATGGGCTTCACACACTCAGGGGTCAGGAGCAGTGCAGTAGCATACAGTACTGTAGCAAACCTAGTATGTGCCATGCCAAAATCCACTACAGTAATGCTGGTTATAAGATGGAAGTGTTGCACACACATTATGAAGTAAACATAGGCCAGAATTAAACTAGTGGCATAAAATGGTATAATAATGACTTCTAAACCACCCTTTCCTGCCTGCCCCCTATTCCATTGGTCAACAAACAAGTAGACCCACCCCAATCGCACAACATTGGAGCTATTCTGAAAGTGCCACAGAGATTTTGGGAAGTCAGTCTATGCTTACTCATACTTTATCTGTACATTATTTGGGATAGGTAAAAATATTTTAACAGTGATAAAATGTTAAAATACTTCAAGAAATAAACAACTCTCAAACATCTTGTGAAATAGCAGTTATGAACACATTTTACTGGTCTAAAATGTATGGCACACATGATATGCTCAGTGTTATATCAGTTTTTATTTTTATATTTTCTGTTTTCATTTTAATTATAAAGCTTTAGTAATTTTGTTGTGTTTTTTGTTTATTATTATTATTATTATTATTATTATTGTCTGTGTCTAATATGTTTATATAGTTTTTATGAATTTTCTTTCAGTTTTAGTTTGAGTTATTTTAGTACATCAAGTTAAACTAAATGAAACTGAGAAATGTTTCCTTGCCAACTAGATGAAAATAAATA